TCATGAAAGGAACTAGCCTCCAGGCCCCCAAAGGTTTTCCCTCTGATCACTTGGCTAGGAACATCAAAAGTTTCTGTGTCCTATTTCATTTCTTTATTATCTCAAGCTGAGAACAGCACGGCTGGTGACAACCCTATTTCCTTTCCAGGCTTGCAACTAGGGAAGAGGCAATAAAGATTATAACCCTTGTTCATGTTTTCACAAAATACTTACCATGCAGTAAATGGCCTTTGTTACTTAGGGAATTCACATGCTGCTTTGGAAAACTGTAGAATAAAGGGTCATTTGCTTACAAATTTGTAATATTTCTTTTTCTGTTATAAAGTGCAGAGGAACAGTGTTTTACTTATTCATTTATTAAATTAAATATATATTCCATGGTAATACGTAGTTAACAACAACTAGGATATAGCTTTTATTTTAATGTTCATCTAAGGATTATCATTCCCTGTTGGAAAGAAGCAATTAGTACCATGTGTCATAATTTTAGATTTGCTATACTATAAACAAAATCATATAATCAATATGATTATGCAATAAATTAGTGGCTGTTTGTTTAATCTTTTTTTTCTTTGTCAAACTGGAAAAGTTGGATTCATTGCTTGTGGGGAAAAATCCTCCAGTGGAATGGATTCTGTTAGTGGAGGGGAAGTAGTGGAATATCATCCTCGATTGTTACTAGCTAATATTTTAAAAAGTCACATATTCAGCAAAGAAGCATTTTGAATCCTATGTGAAAAGGAGAAATGGGCTTTTGATCTCAGAGCAATTGATGTAAAGGCCTTTCTTGCAAAGGTATATAAAAGGAAGGGTGGCCTAAAGCAGTTTTCATTTTTTTTCTGCCCATGGAATCTGTTAAAGGAAAACCATTCCTAGAAACCCTCATCAAGAGACAAAAGCTGTACTGACCAAAAATTGGCTATGTGAAACTGTACTTTCCCTTGTCCTTAGCGCTATTGGAAATTCTCAATCTTTCAGGTCATGGTTGTCCCAAAGGTGCTTTTTCTAAAAGGCAACTGGACTTTCTTAGTTTTTTTATTGAAAAGGTTTCCCTCCTCATCCAAGAAACTTCTTCAATTTCTTTAAGTTTCTTCAAGAACTGAAGAAGCTTCTTGGATGAAAAACAAAATGTTTTCAAATAAAAACCCAAGAAACTTCAGTTGCCTTTTGGAAAAAGCACCTTTGGGTTTTCCCCTTAGCCTTTCACTCAACTGCATCAAGTTCTTACAGAATCTTGTGGTTCCTTGGAACACAGTTTGAAGAACTCTGGTCTAAGGCAGCTTCTGCTGTTCAAATTGTTCAGGTGGACTGTATTGCAGCAACCTTTAGCCATAGTCATCCTGCCCATTCTATTATATTTGATAATAATGGGAAGTAAAATCTCTATGTTTAAAGAACTTTAGAGTTTCAAAGGCATTTTGGTCAACTCTGTGTTTCTTAAGGTCTATTAATTTTTACTCATATTAGTTTTGTCTTCAGGTATGTCTGTCATGGACTGGAATACACTAAGTAGCTTGACTATAATTCTATATAAGGATTCTGTTCTCTAGGCCAGGTAATTTAATGCAATTTGCTGCTAACAATGGTTTAATTTGTCTCAAGAGCCAAATCATTCACTCTGAAAGTAAAAATTTCTTGCAAAATATGATTTTCATTCCAATATTTTAATACAATGGGTCATCTTTATTTGTTCTATTAGGATATTTCTATCTTCCATAGTAATGCTGTGTTGAAATAGGATGCAATGAAAGGGTGAAGTAAAGTCAATGGTTCACAAGCCTTGATTCCTCTTCCTTCCAGAACACTACAGTTTAGAATTTCACACTAATATGTTAACAACTTGAAAATTACTGTTGAATCCCTTTACTTCTCTTTCATATAACAAAGAACAAATTTACAATATCCTTAATTGCATCCTATAAAATGTAAATAGAAAATAAGGGCATTTTGTAAGCTGAAGCTTCTTTTTCTTGAATCTTTTTCTAAATGGATATATGAAGACATTGAGTTTTATAAAGGTAGGAACCTGTTAAATCAAGTATATAAGGGTCATAGTGGGTTAAATGCCTAATATACAGTAGTATATCATTCTATTTCCAAGATTTGCTGCTCTTTGCTATGATTAGCAAACCATCAATAATTGTGGAAATCTATACCTCCAATTAAAATAGATACACATCTCAAACATTTAAAAAGGACTTCCAGTTAATGGGCTTTAGACAGATACAAACCATTTCTTCCCTCGTCAAGAAAACTACAGGGATTTGTCTAGTCAGTCTCCAAGAATTTAGAATTTCAGCCAGTGAGAAGAGACAGACAAATAACCTAGAGCCAGAGGACTGTTCACTAATTCAGAGTAATCAGACACATCTTGGACTGGTTTGTTATAGCATGAGGTGGATTTATTTCAAATATTTTAATCCTGCTCTATACAGTGTTACTCCAGCTGCCATTGAATATGTAGTTATGCTTAACTGCATTTTTTACTCCTAATTGCTTACCTCAAAATGGTGACACGAACTTGGTTTTTTTGCAAACATATATGCTGTTTGCATGAAACAATTAACCCTAAATCAGTCAGCTACACTTTAGCCTAGTACATTTTGCAAACTAAATCCTTGTAATTAGCTTATAGTTTAGGGCAGTAATGGCAATTCTTTGGAGCATGGCAGTTTGGAAAATGCTTAACTTGATTCGGCTGGCATATCAACTTCCTGCCAAACAAGAGAAACAATTTTCTATCTTGTCCCAAACGTGCTTTTTCAAGAGGCAACTGGACTTTCTGGTTTTTCTTTGAAGACTTTCAGTTGGCTCTGGAAAAGTCCAGTTGGCTCCGGAAAAAAGCATCTTTGGGACAGCCATGACCTGGATGACTGAGAATCTCCCTAGACAATTTTCTATTTCTCTGCTGTCTAGGCCAGTGGCACTCAGTGAGACTGGGCCTGAAGTTGAGAACCAGGCCTTGATTTCAGCCCAAATGCCTCTACCAGGTACGCAAGCCTTGGGAATGGTGCAAATGCCCCCATGGCCCCGTGATCCGCAGGTTATGCCGTGCGCCACTTATCTTCAGGCAGTGTGTTCTTGAAGTGTGGAAAGCCTGCTCTATTCCCATGTGATTTTCAGAGGGTTCAGAGAACAAGACCCTCTCACACAACTTCTGGAGGCTGCATAAGAGTATACCCCATTCTTGTGCAGCCTCCAAAAAGGGCATGAAAAAAGGGCATGCTATCAAGAATAGTTGTTGGGTGTCGGTGAATGCTGGTATATCACCCAAAATGTTGTAGCTTGTGACCTTTGACACGCATGTCATAGATTTGCCATCACTGGTTTAGTGTATCATATGAACCAAAATAATTCCTCCATTAATATTTATCTAAAACCATAGACCTAAAAATCTTGAAGTAATCCATATATTTTACTCACCTAAAACAGATAATTCTTGGATTATTTCATTGTTTCTACTAAGTATCTCTGGTATTTGCTAATATAGCAAAATAATTTATTTTCTGCATTCTGTATGCATTGTTGCTTTCAGTATAATCCCAACGTATCTTCTACTCCCTTCTGTATTTGCAAAATGCATGTTTTTACTGTCTCCTTTTCTGTTCCTGTTAGATCTCTGATTAATCATCATTTAAACAAATGCATTTTATCTGAAATTTCAGTTTCTGAAAGGCTCCTGAGCATTTTTAAATATTGCACTTCTAAAAGTTTTTAAAACCAGTTTAAAAATAAACTACTTTGCTGTTTTGCTATACTTGGCAAAATGATCAAAGGGTTTATTAAATCTATGTTATACCATTTCCAGATAAGCACAGGATACTTTATCACCAAAAAATTATAGATATTGCTGATTTATAGCTGCACAGTTATTAAATCTGATTGAATGAAAGTGATAGAACACATACTAATTTCTACAACTGTGAATATCCATATAATACAACTAAAATCAAAGTTATAGTTTCTAAAAATATAAAACATGCTCATTTACAACTGAGGGAAGTACTATAAATTGAATTTGAGGGCTTATGGCGTCGGAAGTTACACAGATCAGTAACTACTATATATGGATTCTGTCATATACTGTAGATGAATAGAACATACAGTATATTTTATCACCCTTGATGACAGAAAGCGTTCCACTATATCTAATTAGACCTCATCTGATTTCCACTAGGAATATATAAGAAATCAAGATACATTCCAAAGTAGTTTTCAGGAATATAGCCATTTAAGAAGAATAGACAGTCACAATGTAAAATTCCTGTTTCAAACATTATCATTTGTTCTTTATGTAACAACTATTTCTGGAGTTTAAAAAAAAATTAAGCTGTCATCAAAATCAGAGCGTTTGGTGCAGTAGTTAAAGAGACCATGAAGTCTTAGTCCCGTCTTAGGTATAAAGGCTGTGTCTTGCCCCTGTCGGTATCTGATTCCGAGGGGGAGGCCGAGCAGCTGACAGGGAGTGCAAGTGTGGCTCTGTTGGCTGTGGAAGAAACTGGGAAAGGGCCCAGTCCAGCTGGCCAGAGCAGGGAAAAAGTAGAGCAAGGCAGAGGGAATTCAGAGGAAGATCCAGGCCCACCCCCTCTTCATCCTAGGGCACACAGGGAGGAACGGAGAAGGGAGCAACGTGAGTGGTGTGGCAGAAAGGGCCCTGATTCCCTTCATTAGCTGCAGCTGGGAACACAGTGTTTAAAAAAGGAGTCTGCACACAACAACTTGTTGGAAGCAAATAGTGTATTATCTTGTTTTGTTGAGGCTTATCTGGGTTCCTGGCGTCTTCCCAACGGTGTGTGTTTTGTTGGCCTTTTAAATCTGCAATTCCTTATTCTGCCCTGTCCAGTTAATTGCTGCAGCATGGTTTGTGTGGATTTTTATTTACAGTTTATATGTACTTTGTTATCGAACTGAATTTCCTCCACTTAAAGACTGTTCTTGGGAGAGTTTTTTCTCCAGCCAAAGGTAACTGGACATTGTGGGCAAAGTTGGAGTTATTAAAGGGACTTTTCTTGCTTATGTAACTGTGTTGCCTTTGTGCCATGCCCTGGGTCATCACAGGCTGTTTCGGTGACTCAGCCTGTCATGTCTCTTAGAGCAACCCACCTTATAGGGTTGTTGTAGTGGAGGAAAGAGGAGGAAGAAGGAATATTATGTATGTTCACTGTCTTTAGTTATTTATAAAGGTGAAATAAAAATCTAATAAACCAGATGCCATGTAACTCAATAACAAGCATCAGAGAGGTTTGAGCTAGATTTTATTTCACAATTGCTCTGTGCTATTATCCTCCTTCAGAGAAAACAGCTTCCTTCTTGGCCATGAAATCAACCAATCAGAATATAACGTAGTGCAATGTAACAATGCATACAATTATAACTTCCAGTAAATACATGGCTTAGTCAATGGGTATCTTGCAAAATGACGGGATGCTTTTCAATATGGCCTTTATTTTACAATTACCTTGTTCATTAAAAGAATAAAAAGAAGTCCAGGATCCATATAATCACGTTTTTCATTGATAAGTGTCCTATATTTTTTCACTGTAGCTTCCATTTACTTTTATTAATAGAAAAATGTCTATGGAGGAGACAAAAATGAAAGCAGTAATCAACAGTCTGGAAGCATCCATGGATACAAGTCCAGTTGGTGGATAGGTCACAGAGGGACAGGTGTTATACCACTCTTAAAAAACAGAAGAGGATTTCTCTGATCTCCAATTCTCAGACCTTCCTTTCAGGTGAGATTGTTCCTGGGAAAGGCTTTCTATGATATATTCAAATCAACCCAGTTAAGAAAGTCTGAAATTATTCCACGTCAAGCTGGAACAGAGGTGATTAAAAGTATACATGGCTAAATGATATAGCCTCTTGCCCAGAAATTAAATTCTCTCTCTAAGTAAGTAAAACTATGACCTATGCCCCCATCCAGCTACAGGCTGGCACTCCAAATTCATTTCCAGAAGAATTCAGAATGTTTAAAATACCAGATGTGGATTGCTGAACAGTTGCAATTGCTGATGCATTTTGACTCAGGTGTGCGTAGACAAATTTCAAAGTCAATGAAGCAGATATCCATAGATTCTTCCAGTGCCAGCTCCCTCCAGAAACATTAGAAAACCATACTACTTTTCCATGTTCTTGTTTTTTCCTATTTCTGAACTCATAGGAGGGAATACAAGTCCTTAATGCCCTCAAGGAAAAGGAATGGGTCATCAGGTCAGTTCTAGAGTAAGTTAGAAAGTGCATTCATCTCCTTCAGGCTAGAACTGCCATCTAAACTGAATTCACTGGGTTACAATCTTGTTAGAAATCCATGATGCTTTCAGTCTGTTCTCCGGATAAACCATATCTCATTGCGACGATTGGGTATACTAGGGTTCTGATATGCAGCCACCAAGTACGTTTCACGGAGCACATTATCTGTCGAACCCAATAACTCCCAAAGAAAGTGAATCTCACGCAGGATTGTCTCCTCAGTAGCTGGCCCATAAAACTCCCTTTACAGAAAGTTAACAACAAAACAATTACATAAATATATTGTGTTTAATGTCTTGTTTCCTTCCCATCTATTCACCATTCACCTACCCATCTATCAGTGCATGGCTTCTAATCTTTTTTAAAATACAGGAAAAACTGGTCTAAGAAAGCCAGTCTCTCCACAAGATCCTTTCCCTTTTCCATTATATAACCAGAGGCATGTTTTCTTTTACTTAGAAACTATTTTCCCGGGCATGCATATATATTTTTTTCTACCTAAGAATAAAAAGCAAGTTGATTCCTCCCTTAGTTAAAAGGCTGTTTGCATCTAAAGCATAGCCCAAGTCCATCAGGACTTACCTGGTGATAACTTGAAGAGGTGATCTTTCTAGTATTTGGATTTCTGGATCCATGGGGAGAGGAGGATTAAGCTGAAATTCCTGAGGAAGATAATAAGCAGTGATAACTTCTTGGACCAATTCAGTACCCTCCTTGTTCAGGTGGATCTCATTAATCACTGGTACTGTCATCCCCAAGTGCTGGCCTGGATAAAGATATGGGTAGAAATACCAGTCATGAAAGGTAAATCTAGGGAAATCCATTCCTTGTTTTTCCAAACCCCATTAATTCTGGTCATGTAAACTTCTACATCTCCCCATGGCACTTGCTCATACACACCTAGGGAATTTTCTTTGCAGATGTATCTTATAAGTTTCATGAAACCCAATGAGATGCTCTGCTCATACTTGGGTTCTCCTTTAGTGATGCATGCCCATTTCCCAGCAGGGTATAGGCGTTCCTCATATGTTGTTTCCTCGCACTGAACCAAGAAGGAAGAGAAGTGATTTACTGCCAGGGGAAGAAATATCAACAGTGTAACAAAATTTATGAGTTTTAAAATCTAGATAATTACATTATTGGAGACAAATTTGATACCTTTACAAGTGATATAAAATTTTGGAAGTGTTGATGTTATGTTAGTAAAAGCTGCTTTTTCACATTTTTTAAAAGATAAATACAAATTTGGGGAAATATTTAACCATATGTAATATTAATATTCAATATGCATTACTGATGTAAATGTTTTAAATAAAATTTTGTGTGCGTTGATGTGCACGTCTGTTTGCGTATGTGTCCATTTTTTGTGCATATTAAATGCAAAATATGTTTCCTAATAATTCATTTTAATTTTTATCACTATAAGCTGAAATTGCAAAGCATCTAAAAGTAGAGACAACTAATCTTTTGTTTTTCATTAGTCCCTTTTAGAAACGTTTCTGAGGATAACATGTTTGGCAACAATGTACACTATACATTTGGCCCAGAAGAATCCCAAAAGGCACCATGTTTTCTTAATATAAACAGACTAAAGCAAAGTCAACACAGGCTACAAATATAACTGCTTTAAAAACATTGCTATCATTAAAAATAATAAACAATAAAAAAGCAGATTCATGGGAAATAATATAATGCAACTCCTACCCATCATCCTTTTGGGCTAACAATCCTAATAAATCTTTCCAAATGGTAAAGTAGCCTGGCAGGATTTGAATTCTGAAAATTATTAGGCTTTCTTACTCTGGAATAATTTGCATGGTAAGTTATTTAGGTGGTAGTTCTCTAGTGTTTTACTGCACATGATGAGGCTTACTTTTGAGTAGGAATATCCTCAAAATAACATCCAAAAGACAAATTTGGTAGAAAGTTAATGATGGCTAAAACTATAGTTTGGGTGAAATAATGGACACTTAAGGAAACCAGGAACATTGCATGGTTTTATTCTACAATTCTTTCTCAATATATCAAAAAATATGACAGTCGGCTATATACATGTTACATTATTCAGAAACAGTGTCTATGCCTGTTAAGCAATAAATATTTACATGAATATGATTGCTTACTTTCTCATGCTGTGATAAAACAGTGTAGGGCACAGGCTCTCGCACATGGTTATGATGAGTCATCTGTAGTATTGGACCTGCCATGTCTGAAACAGAGTAAATTGGGAAAAGTTAACTTTAAGGATTAAAGCATTTGTATACAACTGCATTTCCAAATAACCTAACTTAAAATGCTTTTTATTTATTGTGGGTAGTCCACTGTGAAAAGTAGTGCACAGGTGGCCCCTGCATATTTGTGGCCCTCCATTTGTTATGCCTCCAACCATGCATAACAAAGCGGTTGAGACTTTGAGGCTCTGGGAATTGTGGGGAGGGGGTGTTAAGTTATGGAGACAGAAAAAAATGCTTTAAAAAAACCAACCCCTGTGGAGCAGGATAGAAATAAGCATGCTGGATTTTGTCTGTATCAGATTTTTCATTCTTCTTTACCTGAGTGCTGGAATGATAACAGCGAAAGTCAATTAAAGAAACAATTGAGTTCCTTTATTCCATATTCTAGAGTTCACAGCATTATTTCTTTTGATCTTTGGTCTGAAGCAACAAAAACCAATCTTTCCTTCTTCAAAGTAATTAAAGAATTAAAGTAGAAATAGTAATTTTTAGTGTATAGAGTGTTTAGTGCTTATAGCTTAACACAATACAGGTAAATAAGAATACGGTATAGGATTATTTAGTACCAATGATATTTTCTGATGACAACTCCACAGCTGTGCTGATAGCTATAATTACCATTTCAAAGTAGCTGACTTAGTTATAATGGTGTTGCAAAGCAGCCTGCATTTGCCTTTTGAACTAATATTACGCTCAGCAGGGAATCAAGTTCAAGCACTCTGCCATTAAAGACATGCCCCAGCTGCAGGATCTTAAACTTGCTTTGAAGGGTAAGATCTCTTTCAATTCTTCCTCCATCAACCACTCCTAATAGAATTGAAGGAATTCTTCCAAGTTTGTAATTTGAAGTTTTCAGATCCTCTCCACTAAATGATCCATGTAAAGTTGATTTCCACAGATAAAATTGAGGAAATAACTAGAGCAGTTGAATAGATGACTACCTACAATGCAGTTGCAAAATGGAGCTCCTTCAGCATTTGTTGATATGTAGGAATTACTGGGTTTCTAAAGTTATTTAATTATTTCATAGATTATAATGAGGTTAACAAACAAAAATTAATAGTAATATAATTAAAATATGTATAATTAACATGAAAGAGGAAAAAATAAAAAGGTAAAACCATATAGAATATTATATTAATAATTAACTCAATACTGTAAGAAAAAATATACTGATATCTTCTAATTTTTACAATATATTTAAAAAATCAATACAGAACACATTGTTTTAATTTTTAAACTTGAAACCAGAAGATAGCCATAACAAAATAGGATCAAATCATATATCATAAATTAGTCTTCAAATTCTCAAAAGCGGAGGTGATGAATGCACTGGAACAGAGCTGGTGAGTAGACTGGCTTGTTGTAATTTCTCTCCAGACAAGGAAAGGACTTAAGATCACCCACAAATGCTCCATGCAACCGCTCTTTGCAAGGAGACTGCAAGACAGCAATCTTAAGTACTTCAAAAACAGCAAAAGTCTGATTAAAATTTTGATTCTTGTAAGTTATAAATGGATCAAAGGTCTACATGAAATTGAAATAAGATTTTGCAATTATTTAATTAATACCATGGGAAATCTTTTGTTTTTAAAAAAAGTAGATTAAAACTGAAGACTGGGCATTAGATGAAAGCAGAAGGAACTAAAGATAAGAATTAAAGGATCAGAAAATTTAAATTTGACTAATAAACAAAAATATTTTAACATAACCAACTGGACATGTTGAAGGATATTTTGAACAATGGTTAAATTAATTTTAAGAGTGTCTGCCTCTGTAGATATACTGTGTTTAAAATATGGAAGATGTTTACTGGACAAGACTGAGACTCATTTGAAAGTGGATTTAAAAATAGCAGGCTAGAAGAATGACATGAAAAATAATGCTGAACTAGACATACAAAAGAAACTAGCTGATGATAACAATTAAAACGTATACAGAAAAGAAACCAAAAGAGTGATCTGAATGATTTTCCTATATTGGATTTACAAAGAATTATAAAGCTTTAATTAAGGTTAGGGTTGTTTTTAAAGCTTTGAAGAATTTTATGGGAAGGGAATGAATAGATTTTAACTGTTTTTTACTGTTTTTGTTAATTCTGGGTATCTTTTAGTAGAAATTGAGAATAAAAACACTGCAAAAAATAAATTTAAATCAATATCAATTATTTTATACAAATTGACTTTGCCCTGTTGGTGAAAAATTTCTACCCTCTTTCTACTTTGCAAGCACAGTATATCAATTTGCAGCTAATAAAAAGTGAGATTCATTTTTTTGCCTCGAGGAAGCATCACGTGATGAGTGTTGGCTACTGTTTCCCACATAGAAAACAGCTGGTTTTGTTCAGTTTCATTTTGTTCTTCTTCTTCATCCTGGATCTCATCATCCATTTCATTAAGTTCTTCAAGGGTGATACGAGCCATATTAACACCTCAGCTTCTGCAAAAAAACAACAGCAATGTATATTCTCTGAATTGTTCATGATAGCAAAGCAATGGTTTCATATCATTTGTAGAGAAAACACAGTATGGAGGATGACCTCCTGCTTGCTTGTGAGATTTGTAGGTATTATAAAGGTATTGATCCATGGAGATGAATACAGAAATACTTTTAAAAAAATAAAAAAGAAATTAGTATAAATGTCAAGTAGTAGGAAAACTAAGGTGCATAAGTCTAAGGAAACTGGATAGCCTTCACTCAATCTTCTTGTTAAATCTAAACCCAAAGTAAAAGATAATATGTGCCTCCTCCTTTTTCTGGGTGCCATACTGTACAATTATTTATAAATGATTTGAAACAAAAATATATCATTTAATTTGCATAGATAGAATAACAACCTTTGAGGATAATTTAAAATTTCTGGAGCTTCAATATATTATCATATTTCTGCAGGACCTATTTTGTTTCATTTATGTTTTTTATAAGACTATTTTAGTCTGGAATGTCTGATTTATTGTTTTATTTTTTTCATGTATTTTCCATTGGTTTTCACCTAATATGTGCCAATAAGCTATTCTTTGAGGAATTCACCTGCCTCGGCGTTCTTGCTTGCAGTGGGTTTATTACTTGGAACCCTGACGACTGCATTCCAACTACTGCGCTACCACAATTTAACAATTATAAATTAGCCAATTCTAGATGGCATTATATATTTGAATATTTCTCCCCAAAGAGATTTTCTTTTTGTGAAATATATTAAAAAGGAAATCTGTTCTTTCCTTGAAACAACTCAGGGTTCTACTAATACATTAACTCTCTGGGATGCATTTAAGATAACCATTATGAATTCCATAATTGCTTTTACCTCGGTAAAAGAGAAACTCAGAGTCTGTAATTTTATATAGTTACAGAAGGTGATTAAAGATCCACTTTTATTAACACCACGAATGAATCATATCACACATTTACAGCAGCAAAGCCTAAATTGGAGCTTCAACACAGAATAATTTGAATACTTTGAAAAATGTTAATCAGAAAATAGTGGAAATCAATAATGAAAACTAAAAGGTATTGACTTGTCGTGTGAAATACACATAGAATTCAGGCCGATGATGGACAGTTATTTACTAAGACAGAATCTCGATTTTATGATTTTTATATTCAGTTAACCAAGGACACCTGTAACTGCATTATTAATCTTCTGATGTCACATTAAAAGGTCACTGACATGACAGAGACATTGCATTCTATGAAACTAGTCAAGTCCAAAGAACCAAGAAGGATACAAGGAGTTACTTCCAAGAATTTTATTCATTGTTGCTCATCTGTAGTTAGAAATCTTGTCAGACTAAGAGACCTATCTGCATTAACTACCACATATATCCTGTGAACAGCTAGAGGGAGTCTGTCTTTGTTCATTCTGCATACCAAAGATTCCAACTTCTTTGTCTCTTTGCTAATAATCCCTCCTGTGATTCTGGCCTTTATTCCACCAAAGGCACTGAATGTTTACTGACTTATTAGCACCCATATTGTTAGAAATGCATAATCATTTAATCTTTCTTTTTTTTTTCATTTCATGAGGCTTTGTATTATAGTTATACTAAAGCCTCAGAAAAATCTCACAATATGCACAAGCTGTAGACTTTGTGCTCTCTTCTGTTACTATGGGTGCAAAAGTCTTAACTGCAGTAATAGCCAGGAAAATAATACCATCTATAATTCAGTATCTCAGTCTGGATTTGTTAAATGGACAAACATTTGACAATACATACCTGGTGACTACGGTAATGTTATGGCTATTACATATGAATATTACATGTAATGAATATATCTTGTAAGAGGGATTTCAATCATAATTCCTACTAGATAATTAAATAAAAACAAAAAATATCTGAAAATAGTTTATTTCCCACATTTATTTTGAAGCGTTATTGTTTTACCTTTTAATTGTACTGCATGTATGGGCATTTATATAAGAGTAAGTGAACAGGAATGTGCAAATACTCTTAAGAAGCAAGCACCATTAACTTGCTCACAATTTATTTCCTTTTTGCTTGTGAGAGGACAGGCTGCTGCTGCTGCTGTTGCTGCAAAATGGTCAACATCCTAGGCTGCTTGCACCCTGTCCCTTTAAGAGCTCTCTCTAGCCAGCCCAGCAACCGGTAGATATAAAAGCTCAGCTGGGGATGGTGGTTTTGTTTCTGTGGGAAACTAAAACAACCTAAAGCAGCCTAAGGCAAATAGAAGATTGACTGTTCTACAAAAATAGGACGCACAAACAGTAGTACAGGTAATCCTTGATTTATGTCCATAATCGAGTCTAAAATTTCCACTGTTAAGAAAGAGAGTATTAAGTGAATTTTGCTGCATTTTACAACCGTCCTTGCAACAGTTTTTAAGTGTTTCACTGAAGTTGATAGTAACATGGTGGTTAAATGAATCTGAGCTCCTCATTGACTAAGGTGGTAAGAAAGTCACAAAAGATGATAAACTGAGCCTGGGATACTGCAACCATCATAAATACATGCCAGTTGCCAAGGGTCAATTGCCAATTTTGATCATGTGACCATGAGGATGCTGCAACGGTTGTGTATGCAAAATGATAATCACTTTTTTTTCAGTGCTGATCTAATTTTAATGGTCATAAATGAATGGCTGTAAATTGAAGACTACCTGAAGTACAGGAACAGGAACTGTAGTAGAATTAGGAAAGAGCAATATAATAAACGGTGAGCACTAGCCTTTGAGTACTTGTAGGTATGTTGTCTCAAGGCCAGGTGTGCTTGTGTTGACCCTCTGGGTTTTGGAGTCCACTAACCTGAGTGTACATAAAAGAACCAATAACATCTGTTTTTATTTTTCATTTCATAAAAGGGAATCTCTCTCTCTCTCTCTCTCTCTCTCACACACACACACACACACACAAATAGATAACTTATTTACTGATCAATTACACAGGTGTATTCTTTCTAGTAATATTGAAACACCTACAATATGCTGAATATTGCACAAACTAATCTTAAGCAAGTTTCTGAATTTCAGTTAGTCAACTTCCTAAGTAAGCATGCCCTGAATTCCAGGCTTAACCGTTTTAGAATATTATATATATATATGTACATAATAAGAAATATCTATCTTAGATATTCAACATATACAACAACTTCATATAGTGTACATATAGCACTTGCTAATTCTGTTATGGCTTTTAATTTAAAACCAAAACTTCTATATAACTGAGCGCAGGAATGTGCGTATCTGTGTATGTATGTATGTATTGCAGGTTTATAAATAGATAAATGCATAAAATGCATACAGATTGGAGATAATATTGTATTTTGTAAATGCTATCTATCTATACATAAGCCAGCAGTATTCTTGAACTGGTTAGAAATAAAAAAAACTTTTAATTGGATCTAGTCCAACTAACTCTTGCCACACAAATGCTAGCTGGATTTCTCTGACAAGTTGAGCAGAACATGAAGACAACAGCTATGACAAACTATTCTACCATATAAATAATTTTCAGAAAAAAGTTGCATTTGATTCTGAAGTTATATTTACTCATCACGAGTACTAAACATTGTACATTATATTAAACTCAGAATTATTACAGGATAGTAGCAATTGTACATGTACAATTGCAACTATCCTGCTTTCACTTCCTTTGGGAAAAAGTATATTGCTAATTCATGTCAATGTTTTAGGCTCAACTTTAGCAAAGATGTTTGAAATTTCCTATTTCATGTTACTTTGTTATTTCCTATCCTACTTTTTGTTGTTGATTATTTAAGATAATTTCCAAATGGTTTAACAATATTTTATATAAACAAAATGTTTTGGAAAGTTGGGAAGACCTTCAAAATTTCTAACAGTGAAGTAGACTTCATTGTTATATATGGTTATTTCTGTATAACACAATATTTATATTTATAATTTAAAATTAATCTGTGAATGTTTAATTATAACTATTACCAGCTATCAATTTGGCTTTTACACTTTTTTTATGTGCCCCTTAGAAATTACTGCAGTGGGCCTGCTTTATTCAAAAGCATTTCCTTGTAGCATTTATACACTTTAGCTCAGAGGGGTCAGACATAGGTAAATGCTATAACTAAACTGCCAACTTTCTGCCATACTGTTCATTTAAAAAAAAAACTCACATTTTTAATGTTCCATGAAAGGTAGATTTCTATTTCAAGTAAGAGGGCAAGTGAAATTTCAAATAGCAGGAACTTTGGCTCCTTTATTATGGAATAAAGAATCTATCTCATTGACATTTGGGAATACTATGGCGACATCGTGCAAAATTTAAAAAAAATATACTTTTTTCCTTCTACCTCCTGTGTAACAGGCAGTTTCAACAGGTTAAAGGGGCTAGCAAGTTGAGTAAAGGGGAAGCTGCGCCTGGGTGAATTTGCTCCTTACGGCTTGCGCAGGAAAAGCGAAGTGTAGGAAAGCTTTTCTTTTAAGCCACAGCTTCCTCGACTGAGGTGACAAGACGGTCCGTTCCGACAAGCAGGGCTGGAACGGCAGAGGCACAATGCGCTTTTAATCGCGGGGCAGGGAAGGGCAAAGGAGGGGGAAACTTGGCAAAGCACCGGTCGACACCTTCCCCCCCCCCCGCCGCCCCCCAGGCGCGGGCAAGGCGAGACACCGACGCAGAGCCAATCACTCTAAAAAGTGCCGGTTGAGGTGGAGTGGAGGGACACCCGTAAGTCGGGAGCTGAGGGAATCCAACCCGGGACGAGGGTTACGACCGACCAGGGGCAACTTGACATCAGGTCCCGCCTCGACTCCGCCCAGAAAGGGAGCGTGCCCAGCGCCAAAGGGGAGAGGGGACGGGGTCCGCGCTCCACTCCTCTCTATTGGGGGGGGGGGGGGGGGGGGCTAGAGAAAGGAGGAAAAGGGGGTTACCTGCCACATCCGGTACCTTTTCCGACCCGGAATGGATTCCGTCTTCTCAGGCAGGGGCGGCGGGCGGGGGGGAAGGGGCGGAAGACCAAGCAAGAGAGGCTCGGAAAGGGATGACGTCACGCCCGGGTGGGTTGAGGTTCGGGCCTTCCGCCGGTGGTTCTTGTTTCGGTCGGTGGGGGTGGTCGTGGTTCCGATCGAAGCCTCCCAGCCAGGGCAGAGGCCAGCTGGAGCGATAGGGAGAGTCGACCCAGAAGGGCAGCCGTTTTAGTTTCTTGAATCAAAACCGATGAAGAATTTAAGGAATTAACTGGAACGCAAGAGTGTTCTAGGTTCCTTTGGATTACAGTATAGTGTTTTCAAGCATAGAATCTAAACTATAAAGTTCAGGGGAAAAGAAGAGCAACGTGTTTTTAATGGATAATCTGGTATAATTCCCAAAGGGTGCTTTTGGGTACTTCAAAACAAGCAGTAAAATCAAATGGATCTGTAATCCATAATAGTAGTTTGGATGCCAAAACTTCACCCCTATTTTACAATAAAGTTAATAACTGTTCAGATTGTGGAGTTTTCAGTATTCTCTATTTTACTGTAACTGGATAAAAATTCAATTGACACACTTGTTCAGTATCTAATCGTTACACAGTAATGCCTAACCTCATTTTTTATTTGGTTGTAGGGACTTTTCTTAATCACAACTTGGCAAAATATTGCAAAGCAAGGCCTGTCTCAACACTGTAACTGTATAGGTCAGGAGTCCCCAAACTTGGCAAATTCAACTCCCAGAATTCTCCAGCCAGCTATGCAACGAAGTGAAATCACAGCAGTGTGTTCTTTAGCTAGTGTTAGCTTTCATATACATTAAGTTCTTCCCAAGAAGTTAAGATGCTGTAATATATCAACTTACAGGTAAAACTCAGAAAATTAGAATATCGTGCGAAAGTTCATTTATTTCAGTAATGCAACTTAAAAGATGAACCTAATATATGAGATAGACTCATTACATGCAAAGCAAGACAGTTCAAGCCATGATTTGTCATAACTGTGATGATTATGGCTTACAGCTCATGAAAACCCCAAATCCACAATCTCAGAAAATTAGAATATTACATGCAATCAATAAAACAAGGATTGTACATAGAACAATATCGGACCTCTGAAAAGTATAAGCATGCATATGTACTCAGTACTTGGTTTGGGCCCCTTTTGCAGCAATTACTGCCTCAATGCGGTGTGGCATGGAAGCTATCAACCTGTGGCACTGCTGAGGTGTTATGGAAGACCAGGATGCTTCAATAGTGGCCTTCAGCTCTTCTGCATTGTTCGGTCTCATGTCTCTCATCTTTCTCTTGGCAATGCCCCATAGATTCTCTATGGAGTTCAGGTCAGGCGAGTTTGCTGGCCAATCAAGCACAGTAATCCCACAGTCATTGAACCAGTGTTTGGTGCTTTTGGCAGTGTGGGCAGGTACCAAGTCCTGCTGGAAAATGAAGTCAGCATCCCCATAAAGCTCGTCTGCCGAAGGAAGCATGAAGTGCTCCAAAATCTCCTGGTAGACGGCTGTGTTGACCCTGGGCTTAATGAAGCACAGTGGACCAACACCAGCAGATGACATGGCTCCCCAAATCAACACAGACTGTGGAAACTTCACACTGGACTTCAAGCATCTTGCAGTGTGTGCCTCTCCATTCTCCCTCCAGACTCTGAGTCCTTGGTTTCCAAATGAGATGCAGCAAAAGTTACTCTCACCAGAAAAGAGGACTTTGGACCACTGAGCAACAGACCAGTTCTGTTTTCCTTTAGCCCAGGTAAGACGCTTCTGACGTTGTTTGTTGTTCGGAAGCGGCTTGACAAGAGGAATACGACATTTGAAGCCCATGTCTAGGATCCATCTGTGTGTGGTAGCTCTTGATGCACTGATTCTAGCATCAGTCCACTCCCTGTGAAAGTCCCCAACACTTTTGAATGGCCTTTTCCTGACAATCCTCTCCAGGCTGCAGTCATCCCTGCTGCTTGTGCACCTTTTTCTTCCACACTTTCCCCTTCCACATAACTTTCTATTAATGTGCTTTGATACAGCACTTTGGGAACATCCAACTTTTTTTTGCAATTACCTTTTGAGGATTTCCCTCCTTATGGAGGGTGTCAGTGATGGTTTTCTGCACAACTGTTAGGTCAGCAGTCTTTCCCATGATTGTGCTTCCTACTGAACCAGACTGAGAGACCATTTAAAGGCTCAGGAACCCTTTGCAGGTGTTATGGCTTAATTAGCTGATTAGAGTGGGACACTTTGAGCCTAGAATATTGAACCTTTTCACAATATTCTAATTTTCTGAGATTGTGGATTTGGGGTTTTCATGAGCTGTAAGCCATAATCATCACAATTATGACAAATCACGGCTTGAACTATCTTGCTTTGCATGTAATGAGTCTATCTCATATATTAGGTTCATCTTTTAAGTTGCATTACTGAAATAAATGAACTTTCGCACGATATTCTAATTTTTCGAGTTTCACCTGTAGTATGTTGCCTTTTGTAACTGACAGATGGAAAGTTTGTCAATGCACAGATTTTCCAAGTGCGGTCCAAGTTCTTTTGATATGGCACCCAGTGAACCAATAACTACTAGAATCATTGCAGCTGGTTTATGTCATTGACTTTCAACTTCAATTTTCAGATACTTTGTGATCTTGACACTTTGTGATCTTGTCAATTGTCTTTGTCCCTAATCCTAACCTTATTCCTTGCTATTGCTACATCAACTATACACACTTCTTTTCAACAAGAGTTAAATCTGGTGTTATGTACCCAGATTTAATCAGTTTGTATTTAGAAGTTCCACAGTACTTTAATCTGCTCATTTTTGACAAGTTTTTCAGCTCTGCCTTCCCAACTATTCATTACTAGCAGATGATTTTTATAGCTGTACCAGTGAATCATTTTGGCAACAGTTATGTCATTGTTTATAATACTTTTGTGCAATCTTCTTGCACTAGCAGAGTATATGACTACTATTTCTTTTGCTTCTTTGAACAATCTACATTTTGAATCATTTGATGATTTTTTTTGGCTTTGATTGCATTAGTTCAAATAGCTAGCTCTTGAGCAGCCAAAATCAATCTTCTTTTTTTAAATGTAATGTTTCAGTTGTAAGTCATTGTTGGCTTTTAACTTTATCCATTTTCTCTTTGATTATTTCTAGAAATTGACATATAGTGCTTTTCCTTGCCAGCAATTTATTCATATTTTTATTATGTTATTTTGGTATGTTTTGTTTCCTACACATTCACATTTTTAATTTACATCAGCGCTTGTTTTGGGGTGTTTTTATATAATCAGCCAATGCATGTATTTCTTCAAGAGTTTGACTTGAAGTAAACCTCTATTTCCATTTCTGTGTAGAAAGTATAATCTATCAATATCATTATGGAAATATAATGCATAATGAATAGTCATTTGCTTTCTTGTTTTTCAGTCCAGATCATCCAACTTGGCTTGTGTCCAATTAATAATTCCAGCAGGGTATTATATCCAGGTATGGCCCAGGTATTAACAGCATTGATAGCGCTTCCACCATTCAATTTTGTCTTTAGCAATTTTCTTTTTGTTTACCAATTTTTTATTGTTTACTAATCACATTTTTAATTTATCCATCCTTGATGTTATCCAACTGTAGGCAGCCCTAAAGAGGCTTTAAAATGATGGTTCCTGATAGTTCAAAATGTCCATTTGCAATTTAAATTCTATTACTATTCATGTTTTTACCGTGACTTATTACTAAGGTAGCACCTATCTCTACAACAAATTCCATTGCTATATCTCTGCTAAAAATTCTTATAGTATTTCTCAATGACCAGATTTCAATTTCTGGTTTTTCATAACACTTCAGATTATCATTATTATATATGCAAAAATATGAAATCATGGCTGCTCATTCTTTAGATAATAGTGGCTTTCATTTACATTGAATTCTTCCCCAGGACCGAAGGTATCATAACTCTCTTGGTGTAATATATACAGAGTAATTGACAGATAAAATTTTTGTCAATGCAATTATTATTATGGCTGGTCACAGTATTATTATTATTATCATCATCATCATCTCACCTTTTAAATATGCATTTTGGTCAAATCAAGGCAGTAAACATGCCTCATAATCCTGCATCCTGTTTTCCCCACAACAACATTCCTATGAGATAGGTCGTACTGAGAGAGTGACTGGCCAAAAGTCACCCTCTCATAGAGGTATAATTATGACTTGTGTTCAACAATGCAGATGTTTATTCTTGCTCTTCTCCATAAGAAAATGGTAAAGCGCCTCCATTTTTCTCTGCTACAATTATGACAGTTTTTGTGTGCCCAGTACTGCTCTTTCTCTTATTCTATTGTCATAGCTGTTATTCAGTGAAGATAGACGTCAAAGACAGATGAAATGAACTGGAAGCATCTGGCAAGTTTGTTTCTTGTGATCAATCCTTGTGATCATTTTATTAAATTAAAACAACAACAATCAGAAGTGAATCAAGGGTAATGTATGTCCATTGCTTTGTATTACCATTGTTCATTTGAAGACAGACACCAAGTCTGCACCAGTCAAGATGCAGACAGGGCTTGTAGAAAGGAGAGAGAACATATATTTAACCTCTGCAGAATCTATGTGCCTCAACTTTATCCCTTACACAAAGTAATTTCCCACAAAACTTCCTGCCTGCTTCAGAAATTCAGGAGCAACTATTCTGATTTGGAAAGGTATTCATCATAAAAGGCTGCAGGATGAAGATAACGGTTGTTAGAGTGCAAAAATAAATTCAACTAAGTCCTATCAAAGTCAAGCCTAGAGGTAGGCACTGAAGGAATAAGTCAGCATGAGAATCCAGCTGGGGATGTACTTCTCCCAGCAGTACTGTGTAGTGGAAATGTAGCTCTTCTTAAGGGAGAGCTATGTCTTTGCACTTCAGAGAGCCAATACTTCATGTAAGAGCTCTTGGAGCACATTCTGTGCAATCATGAAAACGCAACCTGGAAAGTGCATTCAGCCAGGGTACAAAGTCCATGACAAATTACTGAAGAGAGCTTCCTTATCTCATCTGGCAGTGGCTCCACATTGGTTAGTACCATCCAGAGTGAGAGCTCTATCAACGCATAGCTACTCATCAACACGAGAATATGGTAAGTTGTGAAGAGGTTGCAACTGAAATATCCAAATAATAAGAGAAGCAGGTAATATCTGAAATGGCAATAGGGTAGATTCAGTCAGAGGTATGAGAGGAAAGATTCACACTGCTTGCACTGAAGCCTCTACTCGCAGCTCGAAGATGTTGAGAACCCTGAAAAACAAATCCTCTTTTTATGAATTTGAATCTGCCAATCTGTACAAGTCTGTCTCCCAGTGTGCATTTAAAATGATCTATTGCATGCTCAAATTTATATCCAGCAAAGTATATTAGACTGTAAATCCTGTATTTCCCAAAGACGGTAAAGGAAAATATCCTTCCTTCACAATCTCATATCATCCCAAATCATCACTCATCTTATACAACATAATCTTAGGTGGTTGTCAGCAGTAAAAATAATTTTTAAAAAATGGTAGGGAAAAACACCCCCTAAAACCTTCCAGTGCCCCCAACCACAATGCATTTCCACATATCCACATGGCATGTTTCTGGTCCAGCCTCACACATTTGGAGAAACGCCCAAGTCTTTAAGGTTTTTCAGAAAGTTGAGAGAGTAGGGATCCGCTAGATCTCAGGAGAGGGTGTTCCAAAGGGCAGGGATGGCCCTAAAGAAGGCACATTGCCTAGATCCTCCTACATGTCAACGTTTAAGGGAAAGGATCCGAAGCACAGCTACTCTAGTGGGAGATGGTCATGCAAATAATTTGGCCTTGTATCATTCAGGGCTTTAAAAATGATGATTGGCAACCTGAATTGCACTGGAAAGAAACAGCAGGGATTTAACTTGTATGAACAACATTTCCGAATGTTCTTCAAGAGCAGCCCCATGTAAACCATGTTGCAATAAACCTGAAAAGATTTGAACTAAACATATGAATCTTTGAGACAAATTCCTTTTTCCTCTTTCCCTGTCTTACGCATACATACTTCATTCCCTATGTTTCATTTTGTGTATTCCTCTAGCATTATGCCATAACCTTGCATAATCCAGAATACAACATCTATTTGAGGAAGGAGGTGGCAATTTTTCAAGTTGCTAAGATTATCATCTCAGAAACAATCACTTGGAAATTTGTCCACAAGTTCACTCATTTTGTAACTATCTGGAAAAGGGGAGCATTGAAACAAGTTATATGAAGAAATGAAATAAGGAATAAATGTTCATGACTAAAAACCACATCCAGCCCTTAACTGAACATGCCTCCTTTGTTTATCTATTTGTTTTCCCTATTCCTTCTCATTCTGGGATTAGCAGGACAATAAATGCAAAAAGTATTCATTGTTACTACAATTTAGGAAATAAGGCAAATGATGCTCTTACCTGGAAAGTATCCTCACTGGATTTATTCAGGTAGTTCAACGAAACAGCTCGTTTCATGCTAATAAAGTAGGGAGAAATAAATTATTTTTACTGCGCTGTCTCCAGATTTACTTTTGCTTTGATCCAGATTAATATTAAACAAAACAAAAAATCAAAACTCCTGTTTTAGTTTAGGGGGGGTGGGAAAGCCAGAAGAGAATATTCAAGATTACATGTCTAAAGCTGAAAATTGATTTCTTGATTGTATCAATAAAAATTAGGAATTGTATCTTTATTTATTCTTGAAATGAATGAATATATGGTGGTTTATAAGCTAGCATCATTTTATCAGAAAGACTTAGAGACATACACTCTTCTCAATAGACATGCTGGGATAATCATGATGGTGGAAGTATTGTAATTTAATCCATCTAAAAAATATTACAATTGGAAAAGGTACCTTAAACAAATGGGAACTAAGAATGGTGATGCCATTTTCTATAGAATGGTATCACCATTGTAAAAAATCATGGGAACTATGTGGTTCATAGTCTTGTCATGTCATGCTTTTAAGCAATGACATTGAGAAGTTTCAGAAATGTGCCTTTGCTTAATAAATATAACTCATTCTAGTACAGCAAAGAAGTTAAAGCACTGCAATCAGCCTATCATCTATTACAATATAGGCCATCTAGAATTGTTAGATTATGTGTCACACAAATACATTAAATAGAAACTAAAATGTTTTTTTATTGCCAATTAAAGTTGAGTTATGCAGTCTATGGTAAGGAAAGGGACAGGCCTGACAGGCAACAGATATACATAAACCCAAGAAGTGCCTCCTACTTAGTACTACGTGGGTCTAATGGGCCATTCCCTTGAAGTTTCTTGACCAGAATATCGCTGCTTCTTCTTAGCATATCTCGAATTTTTCCTAGCGAACCAGTGCGTTGAAGAGCACCAGTACCATCCTGGAAAGGAAGATAAAAATATGACGAGATGGTGGATGAAGCCTTTGTATTCTAGAATATAGAATTCCAAATTAAATTGTAGTAATAGCAATATACTGAAGTTTTGCCTTAAAAAAAAAAGGTAACAAATACAGGTATACATCTCAGTTTTATTAAACTCTAAATTAGTTTATACACTATAAAGCATGATTATACCAGACGTTTTCTTTGTGTTGGAATTTTCTTCTTTTTGAGGACAGTCATTTTTTAAAAAATGTTATTTTTTCCCATAACCTGAAATACAATTAGCTAAAGATTTTCTCCCTTGATTCTACTGGATGGACAATGTGGTCTTCAGATTTGCATACCACATTCCACCAGTATGCTGTTTTAAAGAGACCTTCCTCCCACATACATCTGTAGGGGAGTGATGTGTTTATATGGTTCTATTAATATAAATATATCCTGGGGGAAGGGGAAATGGAGATAGCTTTAAGGTCAGTAAAGAAATTCATGTTTGTATATGTATGTGTATATGAGAGTTTTCTGAAAGTAAAAACCAGGTCACAAAAATTCAAGGCTATCTATACTGCTATATGAGATAAAATTTGTATCCCTCTCCAGATTTTCAAGCACCCAGTTTCCTAGTGAGATAGTAACACTTATAGACTTATATACTGCTTCACAGTGCTTTACAGCCCTCTCTAGTGGTTTTACAGAGTCAGCATATTGCCCCCAACAATTTTGTGTACTCATTTTACCCACCTTGGAAGGGTAGAAGGCTGAGTCAACCTTGAGCCTGGTGGGATTTGAACTGCCAAATTGCAGTCAGCAGTCAGCAGAAGTAGCCTGCAGTACTGCACTCTAACTACTGTGCCACCGAGGCTCATGATGCTACAGATGCAGCAAGTATTAACTGAAATCAAATAGGTGTAGTCTAGCTCTCTATAAGTCTGTGGAGATTCTCAGTCATCCAGGTCATAGTTGTCCCAAAGGTGCTTTTTCAGGAGACAGTGGACTTCTGCTCTAACTGGACGGTGAGGAATGGAAGGATTTATATTCTTTGCAGACAATTGGTCATTTGCATTCTTTTAAAGGGTCACTGAGGCCAACTGGAGGTTTATCTGTGTCCTCAGAGTCATATGAGCAGTGCAAAAGTGTTGGAGCCTTCTTGGCTGCAGAAAGTTTTCTGCCCTGTGTCCTTTCACTGTGGAAGACATGCGCAGGCTGTTAGCATGGATGAGAAGCAAAATGTCTTCAAAGAAAGAAGCCAGCTGCCTCCTGAAAAAGCACCTTTGGGAATAGGTCTCTGTAGTCTTTTCATTGGTCGCAAATACTACTGTGAGAATTTCATGTAAAAAGAAAAAGAAATCTGGAAATCTTATCTGCTCCAAGTTACTTTAAAAATTTATCCCTATTTCAATTATTAGTTTGTTTTGCTGGCATCTAATTGTTGATACAAAATATTTTAATACTTCATATAAAAAGAATATGCTGTCTTAAGTGGTTTTCAAATGGATTTCCCAGGGAATAAGGCTGTCAATAGCTATGAGTCATTATGTTGTATATTTCGATCATTGGGCAACATTGGTTGCTAAGGAACACCATCAGGAGGAAACTATTGGGCTCATAACCCAAATCTTTCTTAGTATTAGATAATCAGGAATGTTAAAAAATAGGATGTGATACTAGATTTTGTCAGTTCCAACATAGTTTTCAGTTTATATTACTTTTCTACCTCCTATACAATACTTTATATTACTTTTCTATACCACATCCTATGCATTTTGTTTGGCTTTTTCTCTGTGGTTTCATAAGGTTGAACGTATTATCTCTTATAGTGGAAAAGACAGGAAGTGTTCTAGATTTTTAGATCTAGTAATTAGATTTCCAACTGATAGAAAATGAAGTTACTATTATTTCCCAAAAGATTCCTTATACCTCACATAAAGAGTGAGCAACAATCTCATTTTTTTGTGAATACCAATATATGCAGTGTATGAATTTTTCCTTGGTGTCTATGAAGTTTCTGGTCTCATTCGATTTTTAATTAAAATTACAAGAGTTAAAAAATGCAAAACATGGGCTTTCAGCTTCAACTTTATTTCCAAGAATGCCTCTGAACACATATAGGTAATTTTTTTCAGAACAGTAAAAAAAAATTACAGTATGCATGAGTCCAAAAATAAAATGTAAACTGTGTGATAAGAAGCATGGAGGACAGGATAAGAGAGAAGGGCTTACATTCACTTGCTAGCTTTTTCTAGAGAGATATTTATGGGAACATATTTTGTGAAAACTCAAATTCAAAGGATACATGCTTTCAAAATACTGTGTACCCATCAGCCCCATAGACAGTCCACTTCTGTGTTGTGAAGAGATCTTGTCTTCTTTAATTCTAATATTGCACCTTTATTAATCTAAATCAACCACATCTTCCAAATCCTGAAGTGAAAATAGTAAGTTCTCAAAAATAAAAATCTCTGTTCAGAATGAAGAGATTCTTCGGTATACACTATCTCCTTCCAGAATACCAGGGAAAGCTAAATGCTTCTAAAACAGGCTTCTCTTCTGAATTTTAAAAAGTAAAAATGCCACATCAGTCCTCTTCTTGGTGTTTGCCTTGATTTCACAGAAAGCTATGAGCTGGAGATAGACTCAGGCCCCTATTCTTTTACAGTTAACTTTTTAAACTCTTGTGTTCTCAGTGCTGGAGAAACACAAATTCATAGTCATTAGCTGAAACCTTGAAGAATTATGTTATGTTACAGATTAATGTAAAAGACCGTTGGTTTCACACAATCTTTTTTGAGTTCTTAGATTCTAGAACTCATGCCCATGTCATACTATGATATGAGTCAAACATAAGGAATGCTGAAAGTTGTAGTTCAACATCTAAAAGGCCAGCAATTCTCTGTGATCGATGTGTGCTTAGCAGTACACAGTGCAAGTGGTAATACATGTAAGCAGCTGGAGGCAAAATCAATGTGAAGACCATTTTGACTCCTATAGGCTTCCATGGAGATGATGGGGCATCAGTAATTATTTAATGGGTTTTTTTTTTAATCACACCTTTGCTATGTTCATAAGTAACTCAAGGTGGTAAAGCATGACTAACACTCCTCCCCCTTTTCCCCACAACAACTCTGTGAGGCGAGTTGGGCTGAGAGACACTGGTGCAAAATCACCCAGGTGGCTTTCATGCCTAAGGCAGGACTAGAACTCAGTTTCCTGCTTTCTATCCTCGTGCTTTAACCATTAGACCAGATTGGCTCTCATGTGGTAATTATTGCCCAGAATACTTCTCAATTTGATACACTGTTCCAACATATGATTATTCTAATAGTCCAGAAAGTGGGAAAAGCACCAAATTACAGTGACTGATGTTCTGGTAGGAATATACACTAATGGATCCTAGTTGCCTAGCTCATGTTGGATCCTGCTGGAATTACAGCAGCAACAGCAGCTGTGAATGGGCTTAAACTAATCTGTGCAGTTACCCATTCAAATCAGAAGCTCCTGAGAGAGAGATGAGATTGGCTATGCTCACATATGTCTAAATATGTGAATTCAGTCCCTGTCTATGGTTTATTCAGCCAACCAAAGTTTAGCACAGTGTATAAACTTGGCCATGGAATTTACAAAGACAGTGTGATCTATGTAATCTGTATTGTTTCATTTAAAAAGGCACCTCATTACTTGAACATTATAGCACATGCTACTCAACCAATATCAGTTGTGCAGAATTATAGTTTGTGCTTGGAGAGGTGTTTACATGAAGAAAACATCTTTACAGATATTCCATCCAGTTTATATGCCACCAAATGCATTCAATACAAAATAACTCTTACTGGATAAATGTTGATACTTTGATGAAGCAATGACCTAGAAGTATAATTAATCATAGCTAAGCTGCATGGTGTAGATGAGGACTTTATTCCTCAACAATTTATTCCACTGGAAGAATTCACATATTTTTTGTCTGCCACCCAGAGCCATGTGCAATGGGTGGTTATGTAAATTGGACAAAAAAATGTCCACATTTTTAGCAGATTCAGTATTTCAAATCAACTATGCATCTTTTTAAAAAATAAGTTTTACATTTTTATATCCCAGACATGTGATACGTGAAACAAAAATTGGAATCGTGAAAATCCTTTTAAAAATATTGGTTTTCTTCTGTGGAATTAATATGGATAGGAACAGGCATTCTACAACATTTGAGAAAATATTCTACAGCAGGGGTGTCAAACTGGCAGCCCGTGGGCTAGATGCATCATGTGCAGGCCACGCCCACCCCAGCTCCGCAAAGGCAAAAAAGATCCATCACAATAAGTCACATGACACAATTCAATTTGGCACCTGTGTTCTACAGAGATGAGCAGTAGCCTAGTGAGACATAGCCTGAGTACTGTATAGCTTTTAATGACCCTAGGCATTAAAATACTGTTTTTTAAATGTTCTCAGTTGTTTGGAATGCAAAGGAGCATTGTAGAGGAAAAAAACAGATGCTAAGAAAATGTTTTCTACATAATGTATTCATATGAGCCCTGTGAATCAAGGTTCATTTTAAAAGTATCTTTACCATTTTACCTGCCATGGAATTTTTTTTTCTTTTTATTGCTGTATGCATACAGATATAGAGAACAAGTTTTGTATAGTGGTTAAGGCACCAGGCTAGGTACCAGAAGCTTGTAAGTTCTAGTTCTGTCTTAAGTGCAAAGGCAGCTCGGTGACCTTGGGCCAGTCTCTTTCTGTTTTAGGAAAGAGGTAAACCACTGCCAAAAAACTTGCCAAGCTGATGTAGTCACCAGAAGTCAAAAACTGATTGTTGAAAGACTAATGGAATAGACCAGATAATGAAAGGCTACAGGAGATATTTGTTGCCCAACAAAAAAAATTAGGTTCCCTTTTGACTGATTTCATTCTCCACAGTTGAAATAGATGAGGTTCTTAATATATTAGAATGGTAATAGAGTTTGTACATATCTAGACAAACATTTTGGCAAGTAAGATTCTCAAGGAAAATGTGAGTTGCTTTACTGCATGGGACAAATGCTTTATTCAGAATAAGAGACTTTTGAAGCCTTGCCCACTCTCTTAATAAAATTAATCTAGGAGTTTTGAGATAAGACTGTGAAGAAATCGGTCACGGAAAATAGCATTTGTGTTTTGATCTTGTCAGGTTGTTTCCAACATTAATCATCATACAAAGATTACTTATGTGACCTTAGGTAGTGATGTGTATTGCTTGATAAAAATACAAATGTGTTTTTGAATCATATTTTAAGCAACTCTGATCGAACTGTAGTGATCAGTCTAAAGTGATCGTGGAAGTAATGGCCACCCATTCTGGTATAGCTATTATATTCCTAAAATAAGATGTAGATCAGTTCTAAAGCACACTGATCAATTAAAAGTGGTCGGTTCGCACAAAATACAGGTAGTCCTCAACTTATGATCACAACTGAGCCCACCATTTCTGTTGTTAAGTAAGAATTTGTTAAGTGACTTTTGCCCCATTTTACGACTGTTCTTGCCACAGTTGTTAAGTGAATCATAGTTAAGTTAGTAACCTAGTTGTTAAGTGAATCTGGCTTCCCCATTGACTTGGATGGTGCTTTAAAAAATTTATCAACTCCATACAGTCACTAATTCCTTGGACTATCTCTTGGCCCTATCTCCTTCCTATATTTGATTTGTAACTCAGTACTCGTTCTCCACATGAATCACTGAACCATCTCAACATACTATTTTCATATTGGTTACTCACTGCTGAGAAAGTGAATCCACTTTCATTCAGCAATCATTGACTGAAACTTTTTGTTTTATAGCAGACATCTTGTACAGCTGTTTCCACTATAATCAACTCTTAGGTTTCTCCTAACATACCTAACTCACTTCCACATAATGAAGTAGGCAGAAGCACATTGTTATACACAATTGTTTTTGCTCCTTTCAGCAAACCTTCATTCCTTGAAACAGACTGCACACTATCCACAACTCTTCTAAATGTTATTTACGTGTCTTAAAATTTCTCCACTTATTTACCCATTTTAATAACAATCATAACAAAGTGTAAAAGTTCATCTACTTGTTCTAGTTTTCCATTACTTGTGTTTAACTTGATTGTAACACATCTCAGGTTTACATTTTGGAAGAACTCAGACATTTTGCAAGAAAAAAATGTATCAGTACTTTCATATGCTTTTGCATACAAATATCTTAATTATAAAGATTAGATGCACAGTTGTATTTTTACATAATTTCCCAATTATAAATATATTTTAATTACGCAGCTAGGAGAAAATAAACATTAGCCTGTGCATTATTCCTAAAATTTGCTTTCTTGTGGGAAGAAACAGTATTTGGGGATACAATATAGTCAACCTCCTGAATCTGATACCCTTCAAATGTATTGGATATAAACTTTCACAAGCTGTAGCAAGCAGAATCACAGAGTGCCTAAGTATCTGGAAGTGCAAAGTCCAACATATCTGGACTTTAGGAAGGGGAGATGGATATGTAGAAAAGGGACATGATTTATGTTATTGTTTCTTGAAGTGCTGTTCAGTGTCATTTTCTCCTAGAAGACTAGAATCTCAGACCCTAAAAACATCCTACAGATACAGCTTTCCAAAAACACATCTTTTTAAAACTTTCTGTGTTTCCTTTCAGTTTAGAGAGTTATTAAATTCCAAGCTACTCTATATAAGAAATGACTCTCTTCTAAAGGAGGTTCATCTCTCTGCACCATTGCCATACAAAGCATTCATATTTTAAATACAAACACACATGCACACCTGTTTACTGACCTTCTAGTGAACAAAAAAAGAAAAACACCCAGATTGTTTGTAGTGTACAGTAATGTAAATATTTATGTTTGATGAAAATAAATTGGTTTAAATAAAAACAGACAGCGTATGGAAAAGAGGCACAAGGAAGCAAAGGTTCAGGTCCTTCTGCCTTTAATTAGAGGTGAATGAGTTCACAGCGACAAGGAAAGTACCATGTAGATCTCAAAGGCAGAGAGTAGAACACAGAATTTCAGCCTCTCCTAGACAGCGCGGTAAAAAGACTTGCAGATAGGCCATTGCAACAGAGAAAGTCAAGCGGGAATGAGAGAGCTGGTCACATTTTATGAGGAAGATGCAAGAGCAGCATCTGGGTTCAGCTCCAGGGGCTTCTTCACTGGATCATCAGTTACCTTTCCTTCTTGGGCGAGGCAGAGTCATAACAGCCAATGAAAGTAGGGGAAGGTTTTTAGTAACAGATCACAAATATTGCCCACCTCAGCCATAGGGTAAGACAGAAGCTGCCCTGATTCAGGTATACTTCTTTCCCGAAGGACATAGCCAAAAGCAAAGGTTTCACCACAGCTCCACAAGACTTCCCAAAGGAGCTGCATAAAAAATATTTCAAAACTCCGCCTGAGTACAATCCTCCTGGGTTGAATGGTCTGGTTTGTTGCTCCTCCAGCAGGAGGCAGGCATGGGTACTTCAAAAAGCCACACAAAATCATCATGCCATACTTTTTATTATTCAGTTCCATTTTCCAGCACTCACAGCTTCAAAAACTATGTCTTATCTAATGCCTAGTCTAATTTGTAAACTTAACTAATCTTTTCTTACTTTCAGAAACCAGCTGTATTCACAAAGATATTAACCTACATTAATCCCTCCCCTGTTACATACACACAGCCTAAAACTACAGTATGATCCACAGACAGGCTGAAAAAAATCTTCCTTCACATATGCTTGCCCTGGAGGTAGATTAAAGCATCAGGCTATCTCTCAGAAATGAAACCCCCACACGCATTTTAGCACCAGTGTAAATAATAAAGAAACTCACTATCTTAGAAACTAGATTCATAGCCTAAAAATCTTAACATCCAGTTTTCTCTGGGTGAAAAAGAAGGCTTCTTTCAATATATCCCCAGATCTCTAAAATGGTTGCTTTCCTACTTTGCTATATAGAACATGTCACTACTTTGTTCAGATTGGAATATCGTCAGGTTTTTTTTCTCCCTTTCTCAACAATTTTAAGTCAATGTATCCTGTTTGTATTTTGGAGTCATATCCCCACTCTATAAAAATATTATAGCCTAATTCCTGAGGGAATCAGCCTTTCCTCCTCTGCCCAGAACCTGTCTTAGCTCACTCTATGGCAACATGCTCATCCAAAGACAACTTCTACATGGTGGTAATCCCAGACATCTGGGAGGAAACAGAATTAAATGTAGTTGCGTTTATTTGTAAGAAAACACAAATAGGGAGGCGCTATCTACTGAAAATCCATTTCTACTAGAGCCTTGTCTTCATCTGTAAAATTCCTCCAGAGCTCAATCTCAGTGGGCCAACCTATTCCCACTTTAAAACTTCTGCCTTCTATTGTCTCTGCTCCTTGTTCTTGCATGCAAGACTCCTTGCTTCATCATTCTCTTACAGGGCGTGCAAATTCCTATTTTCTTTTCTGCTCACTTGACATGCTTCTAAATAAGCAGAGCTATAGTGCTACATTATCACTTAACACACCAATCTTCTATATGCTTGCTTTGTGGCATTTGGCTGGGGCCACACATGCAATGCATTGTTAAAAATTTACATTAATGAGAATAAATTTGGAGATGAAACTCCATCAACTATCCCACCCCTCTTGCTCTGTGGGCAGAACAGTAAGGAAAAAGTGGCAGTCTCGCCATCTTTTTCAGCAATTACTATTCCTTCTGTGAGAAAGGAACTGTGGGAGAAAATTATTCCCAAGGTTGTGATTTTAGAGAAGCATTTTCTTGTGAAATGCTAGCATTCTGAAGTGTAACAGGCAAAGCAAATGCCGACTGGGATTAATCAGTCAATGACTTAATGTTAGCTCTCTGAATAACGCCTTCTGCTGTTGTCTTTCTATTTCTAATGCCTTTGTTTATCCTATTTTCATTTTTGGGAAAGCATGATTTAGAGAGAATGCACAGCTCAAGCTTTTGTCTCTAATCCTTTTATATCCTGAAGCTAAAGGGCCTCGGATACCAGAGAACACAGATGAATTGTTTCTGTGTCTTTCTTTATGGGCCTCTGGACTTAAATACTGCTTAAGGTAGAAACCAGCCTTGTACAATAGCAGCAGTGAGCTTTCAAACCATGTTGCCATCAATTAAGAGCATGATTTATTCAGCCCATTCATCCTTATCTACAATTTAAAGATGGGGGGGAGATATTAGGGTGTTTGTTTCTATCTCTTAATTATGTACTTTGTGCCATTGAAGAAGGAGGAAGAAAACGGAAGCAGCATGAAAGATCAGGAAGGGGCATATTGTTCAAATGAAGGCAGCAAAAGGGGAAGGCAAGTTATAGGAAGATGGGCAAATGTGAATGTAGTGTCCCCAGAGTAGGGAACAAGGTCACTCTCAAACATCAACCTCTTCCCTGGTTAAGGTACAGAAAAGAGAACAAAGGAAGCCACAGGGAATCCTGGAAAAGTCCTGTTCTGGCAGACAAAGGAAGTGGGGAGAGGCCATCTTGTAGAGTTTCTTCCTGTTCTCTTGCTGATTGGTGCTGTAGTAGAGCCGTGTGCAGCCAGTTGAATATTCTTCTGCTGTGTTCCTTGGTGCTCACTTTGGATGAAAGGTTGGTTTGGGATGGGTGTGGAGTCCTTGATGAGGAAAGCAGGAACAGTGGAAGGAGGGGAATGGTTTGGAAGAAAAAGTCCAAAGAAGCTGCACAAGCATCCAGGTGATTGTGTTGGAAGGGAGGGGGGAGAAGTCTCAGGAGGCATTTAAGCCTAGTGCACAGAGAGGAGAAAGACACAATGTACAAGGCCACGGTGAGGATGCATAGTATCCTGAAGAGTGACAGTGAGGGAATAGAGCTATATTTTAACAGTCTAGACAAGGAGGCCAAAGAATTATGGAGGGGTAGAAAGTCATATAGAAGGTCTTAACAGGATTTACAAATCCCTTTAGCTAATGTGAAAAATGCTTTGAAAATTTCAAAATACAAACTTTCTTTAATCATGCTTTTGGGTAGAAACACCACTATTTGACCAGCACAATTTTGGGGTAAGAATTAAACCTATTACAAGGTCCAATACACAGCATGGCCATGTAAGGGAAAACTCTTTTATTTATTCCATGGTCCCACTGCTTCAACCAATCAAGCATGGTGTGGAAGAGGTAGAAGAGAAAAGAAAGAAAATTAGTGGCAAATAATAAAAGGATAAAATGTTATTTCTCAGAAAAAAAAACCCATCTCCACAATCTCAGCAACTTAAAATGGATAATTTGGCATAGGAAAAAAATGTATTCAAGCTGGAAAAAAGAAAGCCAGGCATGTTCTACACAAGCAGCATTATGAAAAAGCATGACACTGTTTCAGACAACAAATATTCTACCAAAATTGGTAGAATTAGACTTTCAAATGCAAGCTAGAGGAGAACAATTATGCAGAGGAATAAAAAGATCTCTTCACACCTGCAATCGGAAAGAGTCCTATGTAGTCTTGATGCATGTGTAGAGCATGCCTTAAGTTAGTTCTTAAAAATATGTAGTACAATCTAGATCGAGGTCACCTTAAAATGCTAGTGAAATATGAGTTGGGTGGCTTCCCATATTCAAAATAAGAATACAGCACAGGAGAAGAATGTTAATTAACATTTTTTCCCCTTGGAACTATTTCCTAAATAATCTTCCAGAGCAGTTATTGGGGGACAATTACTTCCCCCAATCCAAGATCCACCCAGAGAAACTACAGTTGGCTAACATTTTAATTCAAACATACATGAAAACTGGGAAAATGCAGTGCATGAAAAGCTGATTATTAGCACAAACGTTTAATAGGTTTAATGGCTAAGGTCACATCATTTATTTGTTTTCCTCCTTTATGTTCTGTTTATTATGTGAAGATATTTTTAGCAACACAAATAGAACCTTTTCTTAGCCACAATCGGCCAATTTGTACATTGTAAAATTTGCTTTCTTCTTTCTAAAAGAGCATCCTACTCCCAAACAAAGGAAAACAGGAAAAAAAAAACCCTTGAACAATAAGTATTCATTAGCAAAATGAAACTGGAGATGGTAAACTGGCAGTAATACATAACAGTTTGCTTCTTGGCAATGACAACTTCATATAATAGGATCATTCATGTGGGGTAATCTTTCAGAGTAGGGCAAGAGGAGCTCTTTACATACATGAAATGGCATAATATTAAATTGTTATATTGTTTTACCTAGCTCATACCTATCTGGTTTCAGATTTTAGCTATCTAAGAATATTTTACTGAATACATTGGGAGTTGGGCCCTATACTTTCATGCATTAAAAACTTCCTTTGAGGCTGTTGGAAAATATAGACAAGGGTTGATAGGATTCAATAGTTTTAGCTGGGGACTTTTTAAATCTGAGAATGTCAATCAAATTTGAACCAGCTGGGGAAAAAAGAATAGAATGCAAATATAAGAGCTTCATAAGTGTAGATCTAACTGTCCAAGGAAGAGATAGAACAAACAAGTGAGAGAGATTAAGATTAAATTCAAATCTACAGCCTGAAGTTCAAGTGAATGTCTTGATACTTTAAATATCATGGGCTTATGGGAAAAGTAAATCGGGGTTTAAGAATTCCTGTAATTAAAACTGTACTGAGCTGTAATTATAGCGATCCATTTGTTCACGCTGACTCATGACCACACCATAACTTCTGCTGGTGCTGAATAATCTGGAAAATACTCAATTTACTGGGGGGCAATGCTACAGGATCTCAGCATTTTGCCATTCCAGTTAAAAGTGCGATTACAGGAAATGCATTTTACGGGTGACTGGAAAGAGTGAGAAAGATTTCTTTGCAACAGTTTTCTCATCTCTGTGAAGAATCTTGATAAGTTTTCCAAAATAAAACCAACCCAGGTTTTCTAAACATGGTTTGAAAATAATTGGATTAGAGGTAGATACATGGCAGATACATAGAAGGGACTTTTTAAATTCCTCTTAAAGACTTGGGAGAGTCTGGGAACAGTTTCAACTCATATTTGTGCATTGTATGGATAAGATAGCATATCATGTTTCCATAATATAGCATAGATATCTCATATGGTGCCACCAGCCTTCCATTGGAGGGAATGTTCTAGCATATCCACAGCCTTATCATCATTTGAGGCTCAATCTAAACAAGATACTTTGAAATGAGGATTCCTGGAACAAGATTATAGCTTCTGTAGCAAATAAAGTGGGCAAGAACATGGGATGTAGTATGGACACTACATCCATTCAAATAAAGAGGAAGTTATCATCTGAAATTACTTGCTTTTTCACTAGGGATGATGTCTACCCTGAATCCTGGAAAAAGCAAACTCTAAAAGATGCATGCAGATAATCCTTCTTTACTCAAGCATAGAATAACTAAGATGAATCACACACAATTGAAGCAGATAAGGGACATTAATCAAAGATTCAAGAAATGTAACCTTTAAAGAAGAGAGTAGTTCAAAATGTTATCTATGCATTTTTATAAATTATATATTTTGTGTATCCTGGGGCAAATAAAACATTGGTTTTTCAGTTTGAAAATAACTACGGTACTAATAGCTATGGCCTCACCAGTATTTATGATATTGTTATGTACTTCCTATTTATTTTATTTATCAAATTTAGAAACTGCCCTTTTCCTCACACTTTTATTAGAAAAATGAATTGAAAGAAGAAAATATTATATACTTGCATTTAAATGTTTTTCAAAGATCTTACAATAAGAAGAAACTAAAAGTGGTTAATTCAGCTGGTCTAATATATATCATAGGGGTTTCCAGTCCAATTGGAAAGTACTCTTTATAAAAGAAGCAAAGGATAAGTCTTTAAGGTCTGGAATGTCATATATTGCTGTTTTATGTAATTCTAGGAGGCTCAGGTATTTTTTACAGCAAGTTTTTAAATGTGTTTCTGCTAGGTACAATCCACAATCAAGACTGCAAGACACCTGGATGCTGATTGGCTGTCATGGCAATTTGCTTATGATAGATGGGGAATAGAGAAGCACATGCAGGTATGGGATCAGTAGAGTAGAGTGTGAAGAGTTAAGGAGCAATCAAGCAAGTGTTTGTTAGTATGACCAAAGCACAGAAACAATGAATGATCCATTACCACACCTCCCACAATTATTTGAGATCAAATTATTTGCTGCTCAATCTGTTTTTAAAATAAAACCTAGAAAAAACATATCAAATGTGGTAACATGTGCTAAATGCCTACTCTTTCCTCCCAACTCAAGTTTTTGGTTCCAAAATGTTAATCAAAATACCCGTCTCTGAATTTGAAAGGTGGAACCAACTTTGGGGGACAGAAAAGTAGTAAACAAATTTAGTTATGTTTTTCATCCAAAAACTAGTGTTATACAGATTGATTTTTTTCAATCAATATCTGGCTTCCTCATTTATGAACTGAGTGTAATGTTACGACACTGGAAGTGAGACCATTATTTTTCAAGGACTAAAACTTTTTGTGATATATTCTGAGCCAGCTCAATAGTCTTCCTTACTTGGTTTTGCAACATTTTGCTGTAATGAAAGAAGCTAATCATCACGCTAGAAAGGGCAGCAAAGAAGAAGGGTAGAGGAGAGTGACATCTACTTTAGCACCTCCTGTAACAAAGGCAGACAAGTGTTTCTCCACGTGTATATCTTATGTAACAGTGAATATATGAATAAGATACAGGCAGCCTTTTGCTATTTTGAAGAAAATAAAATTTGACCCATTCGTTCCACCTCTTTTCAGTATCTTGCAACCATTCATACGTACATCTACAAACACTGCTGTCCCTATCTCTGTACCAATTTCCTAAAGTTATCAGTTTATCTGTAATACAGGCCAAACTATAAGTACTTCCTCAGACATCACTTTTCTCACTTTCCCTCTCCATTTCCTACTGTGAAACCATAGTACAGAAGGTCAAAGTACCTAAGATCAGTTACTTTTTGTTCTTTCATTGTCATCATCATCTTCTAAATACTCAGCACTTCTGAATTATTGGGAAAAAAAACCAGGCAGGACCTTTCCTGATTCTACCTAAGTGGCGATAAGAGGAATGGGCAGAGATCATGCAGAAGAATGAATGAAGGTGGGCATGCCACGACAGGCTATCAGCTCCCTGAGATGCCAGGGGGCAGCAAAGAAGCATAGCATTCAGGGAGTCACTGCCCCCTGTCTCTCTTGGCTGGATTAGGTGGCTCTTGATGGTGGACTTGTACTTACCCCATTCCATTCCACGCCCATACTCACTTCCTCATTACCATCTGTGATATTCTCATATTTGATGCTGCCCCCCAGGCTGTCTCGGCTCCTCCTCCTCTCAGAGCCATCGCCCTCTTTGAGAATTTCCACAACTTTAGTCTGGTTAATGGGGTCAATACCCTGCAAGAGAAAAACAACCATAAGAAAGCAATAATACTCTGGACATGGTTTTGGCAAGAAAACAAAGAAGGTTTTCTGAGCCGCTTTGAGAGAACAAAGAAAGCCAATTTGGAAACAGAGCCAAATCAGCTGAGACACTGTGGCTTGTCACTTTCTCTTAGTGCAAGGGAGGGGGCAATGGCACACCACTTCTAAAAAAAAATTGCCAAGAAATCTACAGGGACTTGTCCAGACAGTCTCTGAAAATGAGTTCTGACTGAATGGAAGAAAAAAAGAGAGAGAAAGGCTACAGTCTTCCTGGTCACCACGGATTATTGAATATTCTGCAGCAAAAGAAAAGATGCTATTCTTTAAGGAAATGTTGCTGAACTAAAACCTGATTTAACAAGGAAGGATTAAAGTACATCCAAGTTATGTGCACTTGCGTATAGCTGCTTTAATCTTGTTTTAACATTTGCTTTTTAAAGCGAGTGAACTAGAAGCTGTAGTTGTCATTACTTACTGTTATGTTCAAAACTGAGAAATAAAAATAACTTCTAAAAAGAGATACTGGAAAACATGGTTTAAAATCAAGTTGTTTCCTGGCTTGTTTTGAAAGTCATTAACAGGTAATTGTGGGTTAACTGATGTTTCTTTTCCCATGTAGAGAAAAAAAATGAAGCAAAAAGAAAAGGGGCAGTTTTTGGCTATATGTTAAGCTTGTAGATATCTGGGCTTACTAAGCCTATTCAACCCATTAAGAAAGGAATGTAATGTGTGGAAATTGTAATCATTTCAGTATGTAGAAATTTGCTTTAAAATGTTTGCTTTGAAAAAATAAAAATGGAAAATAGAGTGTTCATAATACTGATTTTTGCACATTAAGAATTCCATTTCATAAAATCTCCCTTGGAATATATAGAGGTCAGCTGATATCCTGGAAATATAGGAAATGGCCATCAAGAAGGATAATAGACAGGATCTAACCAGCTGCAGCAGAATAACAGTACAGCATCAATGAGTCTCAATGTTAGTGTAAACCAGTTAGCAGACTATATCTTTGCAGCTGGCTTCTTTCAGACTAGCCAAAAAACAAAACAAAACAAAATAAACCCAGACAACTTTGTCTATGCTCTGTGGTTTTTGCTGACTAAAGGGAAGAACTGCTATTAAGTTAAGCAGTTTCAACTTTCCAGGAAAAAGAAGATCACACTAACTACATTTAACCACACCACTGTGGTTATTATCAAGAAAAACTCTAATAGCATTTTACAGTTACAATTTCACCAGACTTCAGGCTCTTTCAAGATGCTTTGAAGATACCATTCAAATCTGAATTTTCTTTCCTTCCTTCCTTCCTTCCTTCCTTCCTTCCTTCCTTCCTTCCTTCCTTCC